GTAGTAGTAGTAGTAGTAGTAGTAGTAGTAGTAGTAGTAGTAGTAGTAGTAGTTAGTCGTAGTAGTAGTAGTAGTAGTAGTAGTAGTAGTAGTAGTAGTAGTAGTAGTAGTAGTAGTAGTAGTAGTAGTAGTAGTAGTAGTAGTAGAGTAGTAGTAGTAGTAGTAGTAGTAGTAGTAGTAGTAGTATTAGTACTCGTCGTCGTCGTCGTCGTCGTCGTCGTCTCGTCGTCGTCGTAGTCGTCGTAGTAGTATTAGTAGTATAGTAGTATATAGTAGTATAGTAGTTGTGTGGCTGTAGGAGGAGGAGGAGGGAGGAGAGGAGAAGGAGGGAGGATGAGGAGGAGCAGGTGGAGGAGAAGGAGGAGGGGGAAGAGTAGGGAACAGGAGGAAGCAGGAGGAACCAGGAGGGAGAGTGGGCGGGTAGGAGTGGAGAGGACGGAGGGGGGATGGGGGGAGGGACGGATTTAGGCCCTACGCCCCAACGCTTCCAGAGGCCAGCCAAGGTAGGGCTGGCGACAGGCTAGCTTTTTGCGCAGGGGGAAGCAGCGGAAGGGAGGGAGGGAGGGAGGAGGAGGAGCAGGTGGAGGGGGAGGAGGAGGAGGAGGAGGAGGAAGAGGAGGAGGAGGAGGAGGAGGAAGAGGAGGAGGAGGAGGAGACAGGAGGAGCAGGACGAGAAAGAGAAAGGGAGGAAGAGCGGAAGGGATTTGGGCTTCTGCGCCCCGGGGCTTTCAAAGGCCAGCAGATGTCACGCTGACGACAGGCCAGCTGCTGCGGAGGGGAACGCCGCAGGAGGGAGGGAGGCAGGGAGGAAGGGGAGGAGGGAAGGGAGGGAGCAGTCAGGGAGGGAGGGAGGGAAGGGAAGGAAGGGAAGGGAGGGGAGGGAGGGGAGAGGAGGAGCATGGGGAGGATGAGTTATCAGGAGGAGCAGGCCGGTAGAAGCATAGAGAAGGCGAGAGATAGAGGGAGAGAGAGAGGTGGTGGAAAAGACAGAGAGATAGAGAGAGAGAGAGATAGGAGAAGGACGATGAACAGGAAGAAGAGGGAAGGGAACCGGACGGAGGATGGCCACTTCTTGGGAGGGGGCCGCCTGCAGCTCCGAGGGTTCGATGAGGAGGGGAAAGGGAGGAGGGGGAGGGCTCCCGAAGCCCTTTCCGCGTCGTCGTCATCGTCGTCGTGGTCGTGGTCGCTGTGATGTTCGTGGCGGTTAAGGTGGTGGAGTCGGTGCTCTTCGCTGTGATCGTGGTCGTAGTTGTCGCCGCGGTCGTCGTCGCCGTTGGCGTCGTGGGCGTCGTGCCCTTCGTTGTGTTCGTCGCTGCGGGCCGCCAGCAGGTGCCTCTGGACTCCACCGACAGGGTGGTGGAACTGGCCCGCGCCGTAGGCGGCTGGGGGGCGCGGGGTGGCTCCTCGAGGGCGCGCCTCTGCCCTCTCCCCTCCCCCCTCCTCCCATTTCTTATCGATGAACCCTCCTCCCCTCCTCCTCCCCTCCCCTCCTCCCCTCCTCCCTCCCCTCCTCCCCCCCTCCTCCCCTCCTCCCTCCTCCTCTCCCCCCTCCTCCCCTCCTCCCTCCCCTCCTCCCCCACTCGAGGGCGCCTTTCCCCTCTCCCCCCCCCCCCCCTCCTCCCTCCTCGATCCCGCTTCCTTACAAACGACCCCCCCCTATTCCTCCCTCCTCCTCAATCCCTGAGTCGTCATAGCGCTTGATCTCGCAGGATCCTGCAGAGCCTGACCCGGGCTTGGGTGCAGGATCCTGCAGGACCCTGCAGGATTTTGCGGGATCCTGCGAAGCCTGACTGACCCGGGTCTGGATTGACCCGGGTCAGTAGACCCCCGATCCAGTTAGTTTGCCAGTCTTGTCGAGCTCACCGCCGGCCCCGCCCAGGCGTCACAGGTGCGAGGCCGCATGCAGCGTAGCTGGCCGAAGATCACGGACCGCCTGCTCGGCGCGAAGGCAACGCGGAGGTAGGTGCGGGCGTCGGGCCCTATCTTTGGGTGATTCTGCCATAAGACCCTTGTGTCCCGAGCGGCCGGCGGGATGTGCGCGGAGGCTGGAACTTCAAGCCGATGGCTCCACATATTGGATTGTGAACCGTTTGCCTGGGATGTGATCAGTTGTGCGTGGGCCAAGCTGTGGGGCCGTGTGACCAAGCATCATGGTGGGAGCGGGGCGGAAGGCGAGTGGCCCCCCCTTCTCTCCGCCAGAGGTTGTTTGCGTTGGTCCGCTCCGCCTCGCAGCAGGCTCTTTGATTGCGGTGGCCACGGCGGTTGCCCGGCCCTGGGGCAGGTTGCGCGGAGGTAGCTATGCATGATTGTTGAGGATGGCGCGGTCCGCTGTAGATGCTCCACCCAGGTGCTTGAAACGGACTTCAACGGGTATTGGCAGCGTGCTGGCCAGTGTCTCTTGCACCAGGCTTGGCACGCAGGATCTCGAGCCCAGGGCCCAGCGGGAGGCGCCAGTGTGCTCCGTGTATTGTGGCCCAGAGGCCGCCTGCCATCGGAGTGGGCGGAGATCATCCCGCCAGGGGGTGAGCCCGTCGAGGCGGGTGGCGAGCGGGAAGCGGGGAGCGTTGCGGGGCGCGCCTGCTCGAGCCAGCGGGCGGGTCGTCGTCGTCGTCGTCGCCGCCGCCGCCGCCGCCGCCGCCGCCTCCGCCGCCGCCGCAGCCGTTGCCGTTGGTCGAGGAAGTCGGCGGGAGGAGAGGGGAGGAGAAGGCGCTGGAGGAGCAGTAGGAGGAGGAGCAGTAGGAGGAGAAGGCGCTGGAGGATGAGGCGGAGGAGCAGATGGAGGAGGAGATTGAGGAGGAGAGTGAGGAGGAGGAGGAGGAGGAGGAGGAGGAGGAGGAGGCGGAGGAGCAGATGGAGGAGGAGATGGAGGAGGAGGAGGAGGAGGAGGCGGAGAAGATGGAGGACTGACGACTGCAGCGGAAGGAGAAGGTACATCCAGCTGCAGCGTAGGAGAAGAGCGGCAATAGGGCCCCTGCTTCGCGGGGAGGCGGGGGGTGGGGCGGCACGCCGCCCGCGGGGGCGCGGCGCGTGCTCGGCACGCCGCCTTCGCGCCCCTGAAAAGAAGCGGCCCGCAGCGAGCGCGAGCCGGGCCTCAGGACCGCGGCTTCCGCCCCTGCGTTTTTTTTGAGGGGAGGGGAGGGGGGCAGGGTGAGGACAAGGGCGGGGAAGGGAGGAGAGATGGACGAGGTGGGGAGAGGGGAGGGGGGAAGGGCAAGCTAGGTGCGCTCGCGTCATATCTGACATCCTACCCCTCCCTCCCATCCCTTACCATGGCGTAGATCCCCTCTCTACTCGCACAGTCGGATGTCGAGCAGGGCAATGATCCCGAAAGGGTACGCGATGCATTGTAGAGCACGGCATGGCATGGCGTAGAAGAGCACCGCAAAGCGTAGTATGTCACAGCATGGCGTGGCATGGCGTAGTGAAGAATTGCATCACAAAGCTTTGCAACGCAAAGCATGGCATCGCACAGCGGCCCCGAACATAACATTGCATAGCATGGCGTTGAAGATCAAAGCGTAGCATGGCATAGCACGACGTGGCACTTAAGCACTGCATATCACAGCTTCAGCTGAAGGCATGGCATCGCGCAGCGGAGCGCAACCGAGCATTGCACTGCATGCCGTGGCATGGCACGGGAAATGACGCCAGCGCTGCAGCGGGAGCACGATTCGGAACGAGCGGAAGCGCGGAAATGATGCCAGCGCTGCAGCGGGAACACGATTCGGAACGAGCGGAAGCACGGAAATGAGGCCAGCACTGCAGCGGGAACACGATTCGGAACGAACGGGGCCCGAACATGAGGCCGGCGCCTCAGCGACAGCAGCATCTTGAACATTAGCTTGGCGAAGAACCCAACCATATGCAGTTGTCAGTACCGCAGCTGCGGGTTTCATCTTCAAAGGAACCCCCCATAGGACCACGGAGCGAGTGAAGGGTGTGCCGAGATGGGTGCCACTGGGGCATTCGGTGAAGCTCCCTATGGGGACATGAAGCACGCGCGGGGCGTGCCGACATGGGTGGCGGAAACGCATGTGAGGGCCGCCACTGGGGCCTCCAGTGGAGCTCCCTGTGGGTCCCCGAAACATGATGCTGCTGCGGGGGGGGTGCCGGGATGGGTGGCGGAGGCGCATGTAAGCGCCGCTATTGGGGCCTTCGGTGGAGCTCCCTATGGAGCCACGAAGCGCGTGAGGGGTGTACTGGGATGCGTGGCGGGGACGCATGTGAGCGCCGCCACTGGGGCCTTTCGGTGCAGCTCCCTACGGGGCCACGAAACGTGTGAGGGGTGTGCCGAATTGGGTGCGGGTGGTGACGCATGCAGACGGTGCCACTGGGGCCTTCGGTGGAGCTCCCTATGGGGCCACGAAACCTGTTGTTGTGAGGGGCGTGCCGGGATGGGTGGCGGGGACGCATGTGAGCGAGGCCGCTGGGGCCTTCGGCGGAGCTCGCTATGGGGCCACGAAGCGTGTGAGGGGTGTGCCGAATTGGGTGTGCGTGACGCATGCGGGCGGCAGCGCTGGGGCCTTCGGTGGAGCTCCCTGTGGGGCCACGAAACGTGTGAGGGGTGTGCCGAATTGGGTGTGCGTGACGCATGCGGGCGGCAGCAATGGGGCCTTCGGCGGAGCTCCCAATGGGGCCACGAAACGTGTGAGGGTGTGCCGAATTGGGTGTGCGTGACGCATGCGGGCGGCAGCGCTGGGGCCTTCGGCGGAGCTCCTATGGGGCCACGAAACGTGTGAGGGGTGTGCCGAATGGGGTGTGCGGGACGCATGCGGGCGGCAGCACTGGGGCCTTCGGCGGAGCTCCCTATGGGGCCACGAAACGTGTGAGGGGTGCGACGTGCGGGCGGCAGCGCTGGGCCTTCGGTGGAGCCCCCTATGGGGCCACGAAGCGTGTGCGGGGTGTGCCGAATTGGGTGTGCGTGACGCATGCGGGCGGCAGCACTGGGGCCTTCGGTGGAGCTCCCTATGGGGCCACGAAGCGTGTGAGGGATGTGCCGAATTGGGTGTGCGTGACGCATGCGGGCGGCAACACTGGGGCCTTCGGTGGAGCTCCCTATGGGGCCACGAAACGTATGAGGGGTGTGCCGAATTGGGTGTGCGTGACGCATGCGGGCGGCAGCAAGGAGGAGGGGGCAGAGGAGGAGGGGAGAACGCGGGGACCGTTTCTTCAAAACGAGAACCCAACACCACAGGATGGTTGGGAAAAAATGCAGGCGAAAACCCAACTCCAGGGAATCCTCTGTGTAAAAACAATGCGCGGGGGGGGGGAGGGCAACACTCCCAACCCGTCATCAGGGGAAGGAGGAAAGTATTATTCATATTGAGTAATTGTGAAGGAGGAGGGGGGAGGGAGGGGGAGGAGGACGAGGACGAGTGCGAGGAAGGACGAGGAAGAGGAGGTCGAGGAGGATGAGGAGGATGAGATGAGGAGGAGGAGGAGGAGGAGGAGGAGGAGGGGAGGGGGAGGAGGAGGAGGTCGATGGGGGAGGAGAATGGAGGAGAGGGAAACTGCCGTGCAGCTGTAGAAGCCTACCTACGACCACGACGCCTACGAGTACGACAGCAATGGCAGAACACACAGGAGCATGGCAGAACACACAAGACACATAGGAACACGACAGAACAAGCAGGAGCGCGGCAGAGCACACGGCAGAACACACAGGAGCACGGCAGAACACACAGGTGCACGGCATAATGACGGCAGAACACGCGTGAGCACGGCAGAACATTTGTTTTACAAGCGCAAGCGAGCCCCTTGGCGAAAACGCGGGAGAAGAGGGGGAGGGGAGGGGGAGGAGGAGAAGGGAGGGGTGAAACCAGCAGCCCCAACCCTGGGCTGAGTCACATTAGCCTAATCCGGCGCCCCGGGCCGCGCCTCGAGCCGCCTGCGCAGCGCCGCGCGCCAGCCCGCCTCGCTGCCCCCCGCCCGCACCGCGGGCATCAGCAGGAGCGCCGCTGCGCGAGGCGGCAGCACGCTGGCCCATCTTGGGCAGGGCTGTGCCGCCAGCGCCCGCCAGCGGGGGGCGGCGCTGCCGCAGCAGAGGCACGCGACCCACCCAGGTCCCTGCGACGCCGCGTGCGGCGCCCACGCGCCGCCCCCGAAGAGGACGCTGGCGGCCTCGGCAGCACCGCGCTGAGGCAAACCCTGGCCGACCGCCCACGGTCGCCGAGCGCGCCTCTGCAGCTGCGGTTGTGGTGGGCCGGCTCCTGCTGCTGTTGCTGCTGCTGCTGCTGCTGCTGCTGCGCCCGTTGCCTGTTGGGCCGCGCAGCCCGCGCCAGTGGTGGGCCGCGCGCCCAGCGCCTGCGTTCCCTGGGCACAGCCGGCCCGGAGCCCTCCTGGTTGGCACGCAGCGCGGACAACTCCACGGCGGCCAACAGCCGCTGGAGGGAGCGCAGCGCGTGCAGCTGCACCTGCCGCACGACGCAGAGCGCGCGCTCGGGCAAACAGGCGCGCGCGGCGGCGCCCGCCAGCTGGTGGGCGGTCTCGGTGGTCCTCCAGAGCGATCCCGCGGCCCGCCGCCGCGGCGGCGTCGAGATGCCCCTTGACCCAGCGCGCCCCGATGAAGCCGCTCTCACAGTGCGGCTGTATCTGCTCCCGCAGGTCCGCGCGTGACCACTCGGTGGGAGAAGCGCCGGCGCCCAATGCCGCAACCCCGTGGACCACGTAGCGTGAATCAGGAACCAGCTCTGAGGGTGCCCCGACCGCGCTGACAGCATGCACCGCCGCAGTGAGTTCGGCCCGTTGCGCGGTCTGGGACCCGCCCACGGGCCGGCCACGGCGCCGCAGCACGCCGTCAGGCCCCCTCCAGCAGAGACCCCACCCCGCCCGAGCAAGGAGAGTGTCGGTGGGGTGCTCGCAGGCTCCGTCGCTCCAGGCCCGCAGCCGAGCTTGCCCAGGGCCCACCGCGGGGGGCGGCAGCGGGGGCGGCAGCGGGGGCGGCGGCAGCCCCTGCTTGGCCTGTGCAGCAAGCGCGGCCATGCGCGGGTCTAGTGGCAGTACCCCAGTCAGCGGAACGCCAGCGGGGAGGCGCGCAAACAAGGCTGCTTGACTCAGACCTGCGCTCTGCAGCTCGGCGCGGCGAGCCGATGCCAAGTTGGGGCACTCCCAGAAGCGGTGCTCCGTGGTTTCCGCCGCGGCGCCGCAGTGCGGGCAGCCAGCGGGCAGGCCCCACTTCGCGGCCACCGACTCCGTGACGACGTTTCCTGTGAGCACCGCACGCAGGGCGCCTGCCGCGTCCAGCGCCAGCTCCGCGCTTTCGAGCAACCGGCGGGTGGCCCACTGGTCGATGCCGCCGCCAGCATGCCCGAGGTCGGCACGCCGCCCGGCCACCTCGTGGGCCTCGTGCCGCCCCCACGCGTCGAGCAGCGCCGCTTGAGTGTCCTGCAGGTGCTGGTGCTGCGGTCGCCAGCCGCCCGGAGCCCACGGGGCGCCCTGCAAGAGCGTGATGTCATCTCCAAGACCCAGGTCCATCATGCTGCGCCTGGCGGCAGCGAAGGGCCCCTGCTGCCGCCCGTGCCCGGCGTCCACTGCGCCCGCCACCGCGCGCCAGAGCTCGTGCGGGAAGCGCCAGCGACGCAGTGCCTTGGCAGGCTGCCACAACGGGGCCAAGGGGGCAACGGCGGCAGGGTCGAGGCGCCAGCTCGGGCTGAACACGCGGAAGACTACCTTGGCGGCGGCGCACAGCCCACCCCTGCAGACGGCCTGGCGCGCGGCCGCTCGCAGGCCCGCCAACTCACGCGCCGGGGGGCGGCCGCAGGAGGCGCCGTACATGCCTGCGGACGTGCCCGCCGCCGCGCCGAGGAGACATCTCTGCCGGAAGCCGACTGGCAGCCGAGCGACGCGGGTAAAGCGTCCCGCCGCAGCCCCCGTGCGCGCGCCAGCGACCGCGCAGCGACGTGCCCGCCCTGTGGTTGACACCGCGCCAAGGTCGCGAATGCCGCAGCCGGCCGCGACCCCTGGGGTCTGCACGCGCAGCCAACTGCGGAGGCTCAGCTCTTGCCCCCGCTCAGGTGCCAGCCCATGGCCGCCTCAAAGAGCGACGTCAGCCGAAGCGCCTCGCGCACAGCTTCGCCGACCTCGGCCGCCGCGTGGCCTGGCCCGCGAGCCCAGAGAGTGAAGTCGTCGACATACACCCTCTGCTGGAGACGGTCGTCGAGTGCGCCAACGCGACGCTGCCCGGGCCGCGTGAGCACGCTGAGGAAGAACACGGCCAGGGGACAGCCTGGCAGCATGCCGCTGGACGGCGCCCATGGATCACCGATGGCCCTGCCGACCCAGACCCGCCGCCGTGCGGTGTTAGCCGCCATGGCTAGCGCTAGCGCCCACCTCGGCACCCCCGCCCGCGCCAGGATGGACGGCGGGGAATGGAGATCGACGTGGTCGTATGCCTTTCGCCAATCCAGGGCGGCGCCGGCGATGCTGTCAGCCAGGGCCTCCGCTGCCTCGAGCTCCAAGGCGAGCTCCCAGGCCAGCTCCTCCGAGCCGCGCCTCACGACAGCGCCATCCCAGCTCAGCAGCCACTGCGCGAACAGCCGCGCGCGCCCCACTGCTCACAGGCGGTGCACCATGGGTAGCAGCCAGATTGGGCGCTGGTCGAGAGGCCCTGCTCCGCCGTCGGGCTTGGGGAGCAAGAGGCCCTTTGGCTCAGCGAGCTCGTTGGGCCATGCGCCCGTTTCCTCCACCCCCTCCAAGAATTCCACAATCCAACCGTGCAGCTCCGCAGGAAGAAGGCGGAGCTCTCCACCCGTCGAGCCCCGGTTTCTTCCTCCTCGGCATGCGCATCAAGATGCTTGCCGCGAGGTCGGCGGTCCAAGGCACCCGCTGCGGAAAAGGCGGGAGGCCGTCCAACTCCTGCAGCCGCTCTTCCCCAAGCGCCACCCGCGGCTGCCGCTGCCACAACCCGCGCCATGGGCCTTCGAAGAAGCGGAGCTTCGCCGCGGGCCCGCCGCGAAGCAGGAGCAACCACGGATTGCTGCCCACCGGCGCACCCGCGCCGCCCGCGGCGACGGACGGGCCGGGCACGAACGCAGCATCCACAGTGCGCCCGCCACGGATCCACCTGTAGAGCCGCCCCTGCCGGGTCGTGAAGCTATCGTGGACTGATAGGAGCACGGCAGAACACGCAGGAGCACGGCAGAACACGCAGGAGCACGAGGAGCACGGCAGAACACACAGAGTACAGAGGAGCACGGCAGAACACACAGGAGCACGGCAGAACACACAGGTGCACGGCAGAATTGACGGCAGAACACAGGTGCACAGCAGAACGCACACGAACATGGCAGAACACATAGGAGCACGGCAGAACACGCAGGATCACTCCGTAGCCATTTTGGCTCAAGGCCAGCCTCGGGCGCGCGCGCGGGCGGGCTCGGGCAGACGGCGCGGGCGGGATCGTCGCGCGGCGGTTCCTGGTGTTCGGAGCAGCGGCGCTCGCGCGCCGAGCGGACCGCTGCACGTCGGCGCGCGCAGGATGCATGCGACCGCGGGCTGGAGGCGGCGCGTGCGGAGGCGGAGGCCCTGAGGGCGGAGCTCGGCGAGTAGCACTCGCGGCTCGACGCGCTCGGTCGGGCCCTGGGCGACGGGGCGGTGGCCCGGCGGCTCGCCGCAGTCGCCCCGGCCCTTGCTGCCCTGCTGGAGGGGTTCATGCCGACGGTGAGCGACAAGTTACGGCGCGATGTCGCGCTTCATTCGGCCGCCGAAGGGCTGGACGTCGTGAGCGCCAGCGCGCGCCAGCTGCGCGCCGCGCGCCGAGGGCCTCGGCTGGGCGGGCCTGGGCGAGCTGTGCCGCAGGAGGGCAAGGCGATCGAGGTCGAGATGTGCGTCGCCGCGCCTGTGGCACGCCTTCCGCCAGTGCTGGCGGCGGAGGCCCCTCGGCCTGAGCGCGGGCCAGTGCAGTTGCGGGCTGAGGCGGCTCCTTTCTGGCCGCGACGGCCTCCGGGCTGCTGGACCATGCTGGGGCCCGCCCGCGTCGACGTTCTCCTCGCGGCCCTCGGTGTTGAGCCGGCTGTCGAGGTCGCGGACGGCACCGCGTGGCAGGTGACGGACGGCAGCGACCTACCAGCAGGCTCAGGGCACAAGCTGGAGGAAATGGCCGAGTGCATGCGCAAGTACGGCGCGGCCCTGAGCGAGGCGGAGCGCGGGGGCCTGCGCGAACACGCAGGCGGCGCCAAGTGTCTGGTGACGGGAGGCCGCGGTTTGCTAGCAGCCTCCGTGGGCAATGCTGAGGCGGACCTCGAGGAGGAGGAGTTCGTCTCGGATGGCAGCGAGTGCAGTTCGGCCCTGGGAGAGGATGCCGACGTCGAGGCGAAGCTCGTGGCGGACGGTGTCGTGAGCGTCTCCGAGGAGGTCGGCGACGGGATCGAGGGGGCGACCCTCGATGGCGTTGACGGCGGCGTCGACGAGAAGGGCAAGCCCGCGGTCGAGCTGGAGGCGCTCGCGGGGCGGCTGGGCGCGCTGGTGGAGGGCGCCGAGCCCGCGGTCGAGCTGAAGGGCGACCTGGCGGCGCTGTCCGCGCGGCAGGGCGCGCTCGAGGAGAGCGCCGAGGCCAAGTGCGAGCTGGCGGCGCTCTCGCAGCGGCCGTGCGCGCTGGCGGCGACCTCGGAGCAGCTGGTCTCGCAGAAGGGCGGCCTGGCGGCGCTGTCCGAGCAGCAGGGCACGCTGGCGGAGGGCGCCGAGCCCACGGGCGAGCGGGAGGTGCTCTCGAGGCCGCTGAACGCGCTGGAGGCTCTGTGCGAGCAGAGGGGGGCGAAGATGGCCTCCCGCCGCGCGTTCAGCGAGAGCTTGTTCTTCTTCCTGGACGATTTCGCCGTGACGGCGATGATGCGCGCGGCCATTGGGCCCAAGTCGGGAGTTGAGTCTCTCCTGAGCTCGGCCGAGGCCCGCTTCATCGACGTCAGGCCCGGTAGTGCAGGCTGGCCAGATGGCGAGGAGCGTGAGCGTATCCTCGAGAGCCGCTTGCAGGTCGTCCAGATGCCGAGGGGCGTGAGGGGCCCCCTCGATGAATGAGGCAAGCAGTTGCATTCCGTGTGTAGCGCCGTTTGGCCTGTGAGTGAAGACTCCTGTGTTCAGTCGCAGTCGGGTTCACGGTGAGCGGTGGCCCAAGGCGGCCCCGCTGGCAGGGCGAGAGGCGGCCCAAGGTTGCCCCTCTCGGGTGGGTGGCCCTGCGGGGCCCCCGCGAGAGGCGGCCCTAGGCGGCCCCTCTCGGGTGTGCGTGTCCTTTTTCTTGGCCTTTTGGCCCCGCCATTCCGCCTTGAAGGCCCCGTCTTTAACTTCAACTTTCACACGCAGGATCACGAGGAGCACGGCTGAACACACATAATACACAGGAGCACGGCATAACTCACAGGAGCGCGACAGCACACATAGGAGCACGGCAGAGCAGGACCATGGCATAATACACAGGAGCACGGCAGAGCACACAGGGGCACGGCAGAACACGCAGGAACTCGGCAGAACACAGAACATTTATTCACACAGCCGCACCCACAGGCACACGCACGTAGGCACAAGCAAACAGGCACACGCACACGCACACGCACGCACAGACACATACACACCCGCACATACACGCACACACAGAGAGACAACATACGTTCACGCAGACCGCAGGAGCACGGCAGAGCAGCACGGCCAAACACAGCAGCGCCGCAGGCCACCACGCACGGACACAGATGCACATGTTCCACGCACGCACGCGCACGCGCAAACGCACGCACGCCACGACATATCTGCGTGGCAGACCAACGAAAGAGCATACTTCAAAGACCTAGTGAGCATAAACGACGCTTCCCGCTCTTGTCTGGTCAGGTTTCTCTATATAGTGATATCGCCTGAGGCATCCTCACCAAAATGAGATCTTCGCGACATCGCGTGTTCAACCGGAACAAGCGTTTCGCTCGAGACATCCTCGAACAACTGATCGCCGCCAAATTATTTAATATGTGAAAATTTGCGTTTCGCCTGAGACATCCTAGCCAAAGCGAGATGCCGACGGAGGTGTACGACTACATATGATGTTGAACGCCTTACCTTGTCGCTAGGGACATCCTCTGAACATGACCATCAGCACGACCGACCCCCAAGAAAAGCACGGCAGGAAATCTGCACCTCGCTGGGAACATGTTCAACAAAATGATATGTTCTCAGCATCGTCTTGACATTGTTCTTGAAGTGCTTCGGAATGATGAACTGAGAGGCCAAAATGGACCCAACGACGGCTCCAAGCGCGCCCTGAAGACTGCCGAATGATCTCGCAATGGACATCCTCACAAACATGAAAAATACAATAGCGTCGGTTTCAAACGTGCTGTTCTAACATCGTCTTGGAATCGCTCCTGAAAAGGCTTCCAAACGGCCCAAGCCGGCCTTCTAAAAATGGCGATTTCGCTAGGGACATCCTCAACTAAGAGATGTGTGTGACATCACACTGGCGTCATTGTTTAAGGCATCGAGACGGCCCCAAACGAGCCCAAAACGAGGCCCAATGTGACTCCAAGAGCACCCTCGAGATTCCTCAGCATTTGCATTTCGCTTGAGACATCTTCAAACAATTAAGTTGTTCGCAACATCGCCTTCTACAAAACATGCGTTGGGCTTGAGACATCCACCAGAAAAAGACAGTCGCGAATTTAATGCACATGGTATTTAAGCTATCGCCTGGTACATCCTCGAAATAACGAGATATTGACATGGTGATTTTATGGCCATGCATGTCAAGCTTCAGTGTTTCGCTTGAGACATCTTCAGAACATGGGCAGGATCACGGCAGACCAACGCGCAGAAACACGGCATAACGCGCGGGAGCACGGCAGAACACGCACACACACAAAGGAACACGACACAACACACAGGAGCACGGCAGAACCCAAAGAACACGGGAGCTCGGCAGAACGCACAGGAGCACGGTAGAACACGCAGGAGCACAGCTGAACATTCAACAGCACGAGGCGCACATCGTAACACACATAATACACGGCAGAACACAGGAGCACGGCAAAACACAGGAGGAGGAGGAGGAGGAGGAGCATGGCACAGCACGGCATATCAAACAGGAGCGCGGCAGAACGCGCAGGAGCATGGCAAAGCACACAGGAGCACGGCAGAACACACAAAACACAGGGGCACGGCAGAGCAAGCAGGAGCACGGCAGAACGCACAGGAGCAGGGCAGAACACACAGGAGCACATCCGTAGCCATTTTGGCCCAAGCCATTGGGCAGGAGCTTGGCCGCGGCGGACCGCCCCTCGTGTGGCGGGATCGGCGATGTCGCTGTTGGAGGTGCTGGCGGCCTGCCCTGCGGCGGCCGCGGCGCGCGGTGCCGCCGCGGCGGCGCTCGGCGCAGGGACCGCGGGCAAGGTGCTCGTGTCGCTCACGGCCGCAGCCGCCCGCGGCGCCGCCCAGGGCGCGGCGGCAGCGCCGAGCGACGGCGGCGGCCAAGGGGGCGCTGGAGGCGGCCTCCTCTCGCTCGTGGAGGATGCCTTGTGGGCCATCGGACGTGCAGCGGGGCTGGAAGGGAAGCCCACCCTTACCGAGGCGAAGTCGCGCCTCCGCGAGGTGGGGCCCGAGGGGGCCGCCCTGGCATCGCGCCTGGGGCGGCTCAGCCGTGCCCGCAACTCGGCGGGCCACCCCGACGTCGGCCTGGCGCGCGACGTCGCGGCCGCCTTCGCGGGCAAGCGCGAGGACAAGCAGCTGGCCACGGAGGGCAACGTGCTGCAGCCGAAGCAGCTTAAGGTCAAGCATGGCGACCTCAACCGCATGGGGCTCGAGGCCATGTTCGAGGCCAAGTTCCAGGCCATGGAGGAGCTGCTGGTGGAGCAGTCGCGGGCGTACCAGCTGCTCATCGAGGGCCTGGGCGCAACGGTCTGCTCGGAGGGGGAAAAGATCGGCTTCGACATCCACGCAGGCCACGTGGAGCCGGCTGCCAAGGAAAAGGCGAAGGTCGTAAGCACGAGGGGCCAGGCGGACACCGCCGACGGGGACAGAGCTTCCCCTCAAGCTTGCCGACCATGTGAAGAGCGAGGAGCTCAAGGAGGCCATCGTTGACTGCCAGGTCGACAACGCGGTCGAGGCCTACGACGACGGCGGCGACGTCGTGGGGCACGAGGCGCTGGCGGAGGCGCGCGCGGAGTCGTTCGTCGCGGCTTCTTCCGGTTTCTACTCCGCGCGGTTGGGGCGCATCGTGAGGGCGTGTCTCCTTGAGCAGGACCTCGCAGCCTCGACTGCCACGGAGACCTGTGTCGAGGACCTGTTCCACAACGTCTACTCCTACCTCGCTGCCTGCCACGGGATTGATGCGCGCGTCAAGCCGAGCCTTCAAGGCCAGGTCGACGAGCTCATCTCCTGCTCGGTCAAGGCGCTTCGGAGTGTCGGCCTGCAGAAGGCCAAGAAGAAGAAGAAGAAGAAGAAGAGGTGGGGCGGCCTTTTCTGTCTGTTGGGCCGCATGAGTAATGTATCGCAGGCTCTGCAGCTTACGTGTGTTGGATACCTTGCCTTAGGTTTGCTGTGCGCGTTTCTTCCGATCTTGTGTAGTATATGCTCTTGTCAGTGCTGCGCTTGATGGTTGTCTTGTGTGGTATATGCCTGAGGGTTGTGATCATGCGTAGCTTCTGTTCTCGCAGTGCTTGCATGTTTGGCGTGGGCAGGGCTGGGACCAGAGCCAGTGGCTTTGCCGTCCGCCTTCCCTCGCCCGTGTCGCGAGGCGGCCCTAGGTGGCCCCTTGGGAGGGCGTGTCTCTGGACTCGGCTTCTTTCGGGACGCGGGTCCCGTCTGGCCCTGTCTGCGTTTCTGGCCACCATTTGCCTTGAAGGCCCCGTCTTTAACTTTAACTTTAACTCTAACACGCAGGAGCACGGCAGAACACACAGGAACACGGCAGACTTGACGGCAGAACACACAGGTGCACGGCCGAATTGACGGCAGAACACACAGGAGCACGGCAGAACACACAGGAGCACAGCAGAACATGCAGGATCACGAGGAGCACGGCAGAACACACAGAGTACGTCGGAGCACGGCAGAATTCACAGGAGCATGGCAGAACACAGGAGCGCGGCAGAACACATAGGAGCATGGCAAATCACACAGGAGCACGGCAGAACACACAGGAGCGTGGCAGATCAAACAAAACACATCGGAGCACGGCACAACAAGCAACAGCACGGCAGAGTTCACAGGAGCACGGCAGAACACACAGGAACACGGCATAGCAGCATCATGGCATAATACACAGGAGCACGGCATAACACACAGGAGCACGGCAGAACACGCAGGAGCACGGCAGAGCACACAGAGCATTTATTCACACAGCCGCGCCCACAGGCACACGCACATAGGCACACGCACACAGGCACACGCACACGCACACATATATACACACGCACACGCACGCACACACAGAGAGGCAATATACGTTAACGCAGACCGCAGGAGCACGGCAGAGCAGCACGGCAAAAAAACAGCAGTGCCGCAGGCCACCACGCACGGACACAAATGCGCATATTCCACGCACGCACGCGCACGCGCAAACGCACGCACGCCACGACATATCTGCGTGGCAGACCAACGAAAGAGCATACTTCACATACCTAGTTGACAAAAGCGACGCTTCCCGTTCTTGTCCAGTCAAGGTTCATCGTCATCGACACCGTCAACGTCGTCGCCCTGTCGTCGTCCTTATCGACGTCGTCGTCGTCATTGTCCTCGTCCTCGTCCTTTTCCTCGTCGTCTCCTCTCGGGCTATCCTTGTCGTCGTCGTTTTCGTCCTCGTCGTCGTCGTCTTCTCTCGGGTTATCCCCGTCGCCGTCGTGAACGTCCTCGTCGTCCTCGTCGTCGTCCTAGTCTCCACCTCCGCCCGGGAGCTGGGCCCCAAACGCACCGCGGCGCCGAGCTCTCCACATGCGCGACGGCGGCGGCTTTGCTGTGCCGGTGGTCGCCCGCCGCGCGCGCGCGCCGGCACCCGCTGCAGGAGAGGGGTGGGGGGAGCGGGGCGGCTCACTGAGGAGGAGGAGGAGGAGGAGGAGGAGGAGGAGGAGGAGGAGGAGAGGTAGGAGGAGCATGATGAGGAGGAAGGAAAGGAGGAGACAGAAGAGGAGGAGGAGGAGGAGAAGGAGACAGAGGTGGAGGAGGAAGAGGAGGAGGAGGAGGAGGAGGAGTGTGAGAGGGTGGAGGAGGAGGTCCAGTGGAAACCCAAGACGCATCATCGATGTTGCAATAGATCCTCCGTCCAAGCTCCCTCTGCAAAGGTCCCTACAACACTGCATGTTCTCTTTATGCGTGGCCCATTAAAAGAAAACGAGCTGAGAATATTCAATCGTGTCGAAACACATTTCTTGGGACTCCAGCGCTGCGGATCAAGGGGACTACTGCGTCCTGACAATCCCGATTCTTGCCAGCACGCCGTTTCTGTGACGTCAACCATAAGAACGCTTGACACTGTTGTTGGATGGCGCGGCGCTCAGGCAAGAGCCACATTTTGAACTGGAGCCGCCCTTCTGAACATCTTCGCTTTTGAAAGACGGGGGTGTGCGACGAGTGTGCGCGGCGCAAATGAAGAACCGTATTTCGAAAACGGCCCGCCATCCACCCCTGAAACTGTTGCAAACTGCAAACTTTGAAGACGACTGCGCGCGGCGTTACGCAAGAGCCACATTTTGAAAAGGCTTGAAGACGAATGTGCGCACCTCATTTTCAAAACGATTCGATCTCCATCCTTGAGGCTGTCGCAAACTGAAGACGGATTTGCGCAGCGCTAGGGCGAGGGCCAAATTTTGAAAACCACCCGCCTTCCATCTGTGAACCTGCTGCAAATTTTGAGGCGAAGGTGCTCGGCAAGAAAGCAAGTTCCACATGATGTTTAAAATGGAGCCGCCCTCAATTGGTGAAGCTGTTGCAAACTGTATGCTTCAGGACCACGAGCGGTTCAGGAACGCCCGGCCCGCCCGGCCGACACGTCTGGGGGTGCGACAAGGAATAGTAGTTTGTCAGAGCGAGGGGGCCGAACGCTCTTATACCGTCCCTGGTTGCGTGGCCAAAGCGGGATTCCGCGGCGCGGATTCTGCTTGTTGTTGTCGTCGTCTCGCCCGAGACTAACACCGCGGCCTCCACCCCCCCCCGCGACCCATCCGCGACATACCGCGACCCACCCGCGACCCACGCCGCGACCCACCCACGACCCACCCCGCGACCCACCTGGGACCCACCCCGCGACCCTCCCCGCGACCCACCCGCGACCCAACCGCGACCCACCCCGCCACCCAACCCGCGACCCACCCGCGACCCATCCCGCGACCTACCCGCAACCCACCCCGCGACCCATCCCGCGACCATCCCGCGACCCGCCCGCGACCCACGTGCGACCCACCCCGCGACCCACCCCGCGTCTCACACACGACCCACACCACCATCGACAACATAATAAAACATGTAGCGCTTGCGGCGAGCTGCGTTGCACCGCGCGACCACCCGCGACTCACTAGCGAACCACCAGTGACCCACACAT